GTCTACGCTCCCGTCGCATGTCGCAACTCGCCCGCCATCTCCTCCTCTGGAGTCAGAAGCGTCTGAGGTCGCTTCGAGCCATGTATGTCCCTGGCGTGCTCAACCGTGTGGCCGACGAGCTATCACGAGCTGTGCTTCCGGGAGAATGGCGACTCCACCCCCAGGTGGTTCAGCTGATCTGGAGAGAGTTCGGAGAGGCTCAGGTAGACCTGTTTGCCTCTTCAGAGACCTCCCACTGCCAGCTGTTTTACTCCCTGACCGAGGGAACACTCGGCACGGACGCACTGGCACACAGCTGGCCCCGGGGCCTCCGCAAATATGCGTTTCCCCCAGTGAGCCTACTTGCACAGACACTGTGCAAAGTCAGGGAGGACGAGGAGCAGGTCCTTCTGGTGGCTCCCTATTGGCCCACCTGGACTTGGTTCCCAGAACTCATGCTCCTTGGGACAGTCCCTCCCTGGCCCATTCCTCTGAGGAAGGATCTTCTGACTCAGAGACGGGGCACCCTATGGCACCCGCGTCCAGACCTCTGGAAACTCCATGTCTGGTCCCTGGACGGGACGCGGAGGTTCTAGGTGACTTACCCCCTGAGGTACTTAACACCATCACTTCAGCACGGGCGCCGTCCACGAGACGTGTTTACGCCCTGAAGTGGAACCTGTTCGTCGAGTGGTGTTCTTCTCGCCGAGAAGACCCCCGGAGATGTTCGATAGGGTCTGTGCTTTCCTTCTTGCAGCAAGGGTTGGAGCGAAGGCTGTCTCCCTCCACCCTCAAAGTACATGCTGCAGCTATTTCAGCTTATCACGACCACGTAGATGGCAAAACAGTGGGGAAGCACGACCTGGTCGTCAGGTTTCTTAGGGGGGCGAGACGATTAAATCCTCCTCGACCCCCCTCCATACTCTCTTGGGATCTTCCCCTGGTGCTTCGAGCACTTCAGGATGTTCCCTTTGAGCCTCTGCAGTCAGTAGACTTAAAGCTTCTTTCCATGAAGACTTTGCTACTGGTTGCACTGGCCTCTGTCAAGAGGGTAGGAGACCTGCACGCATTTTCGGTCGACGAATCGTGCCTAGAGTTCGGGCCGGGTGACAACCATGTGGTATTAAGACCCCGGCCTGGCTATGTGCCCAAGGTTCCTACCACTCCCTTCAAAAACCAGGTAGTGAACCTGCAAGCGCTGCCTTTGGAGGAGGCAGACCCAGCCCTGGCTTTGCTCTGTCCCGTTCGCGCTCTGCGTATGTACGTGGACAGAACTCAAAGCATCAGGACCTCAGACCAGCTCTTTGTCTGTTATGGAGGCCAGCAGAGGGGAAAGGCTGTCTCCAAGCAGAGGATGGCCCACTGGATAGTGGATGCCATCGCCTTGGCTTACCAAGCTCAAGGCGTGCCCTGCCCGCTCAGGTTGCATGCACACTCCACGAGAGGCGTTGCATCCTCCTGGGCGCTGGCACGTGGCTCCTCGCTAACAGATATCTGTAGAGCTGCGGGCTGGGCGACACCTAACACGTTCGCTAGATATTATAGCCTACGTGTAGAGCCGGTCTCCTCCCGTGTTCTCACCCTAAACGGGTAGAAGCACCGAGAGGCCCGGCTCTGTCGGCTTGCTGCACCCTACTGTGCACCCTTATTGCTCCAGAGTGAAAAACCTGTTGAGTCCTCCAAAAACCCCTCGGCCCGGACATGGCGGAGCGTCCAGGTGCCAGGCCTTTATCCGCTGAATCCTTGAGAACCGGATCTGGGCTGGGTTCCATATGTGTGACCCTACGGGGATCCCATATGTGTATATTTTCCACGGCTGCTCCTAACGGAAGCCCGTGTCTTTCCCTTGGGCTAAGTCACCCACTATCTCATATGTAGTACAGCCTTCGGGCTAGTCCATATGTATTCCCCACATAACTCCTTGAAGTAAGTGGCTTCCGCAGCGTCCTCCTTCCTAACTGAAGGGCACGCTTTCCCAGTGTTATCCAATAATCTCACTGTATGGGTTATTACGGAACAACAGTGACAGATACACTCTGTGTGTAGCCTCCTCCTATCGTCCTTCTAGGCAAGAAGGTGTAGAGGCTTGCATGGGGCGCTGGATGGGGTGCAGCAGCTGTGGCGCTTTGGTAGGGATTCCTATTGGTCAGTCTGACCTACGTTGTAGTGACTGACCGATAGGGAACGTCTCGGTTACATATGGTAACCCTCGTTCCCTGAGGGAGGGAACGGAGACGTAGGTCCCGTCGCCACATCTGCTGCCGCCCGCTGGGGCGGCCAGCTTTTTCAGGTTTGGCTCCTCAGCAAAAAACTAGCGTGCAATCATAACAGCTGCTGTTAAATACCCGCGCTGACGAGGACGCGCAGCTGATGCAAATGATTGCATGCCAATGTGCATTGGCTTGTTTTAGTTTCACTCGAAGTAGATTGGCCTCTCTAGCGAGATTCCTATTGGTCAGTCTGACCTACGTCTCCGTTCCCTCCCTCAGGGAACGAGGGTTACCATATGTAACCGAGACGTTTCCTAGATATGTGTTACGGTATGTGTGGCAGGAAGCACAAGGATGACGATGAGGAACAGGAAACAGGAATTTATTTAACAAAAACTCAGGAACCATACAACACACTCAACATTAACGAGAACGGACCAGGAATGAGGGAGAACACAGGGTTTAAATACACCGAGAACAGACTAGGTGAACAAGGCACAGCTTGGGCAAAGTAACTAGACACAGGTGAAGGGACTGAACACAAACGAGGAGCGGGAAAAACTGGGACACAGGACTGAACCAAAAACACTAAGCAGGAAGAAACAGGACACAATTGTAACAATATGTCACTATACATTTTCCTTGCGATTTTAGTAGATTTTTATCTTTTTCAGTGAGGTAAAACACAATTTAAAATCATTTATAAACCAAACAAAGGAAGGCTTAGAACATCTCCACTTACTGCAATGAATATGATATTTACCCATAAGAATGATCATATTCACTAAATCTGATACTGATGAATCTATAATATCCATAAAGAGGATGTGTGGCAAGGTGAGAGTAGGGATATTATCAATCTTAAGTGACAGCCAATTATGTAGCTCGGACCAGAAACTATTAGACAAGGGGCAAGAATATAACGTGTTCCAGAGTCTCATCAGCCAACTCACAAAATACACAAGGGTCTACATCAAATTTAAATCTTTTTCTAAGAAAGTCAGCGACCGGGTATATCTTGTAAATTATTTTAAAGTGTGTCTCTTTGACTTTTGGGGAAATGGGCCATTTAATGAATTTAAAATGAGATTTTTTTATGGACAATGCACCCATATTCAGAACCTGTACACACGATCCTCTGTTATAATAATAAAAAACAATTTCGATTTCAAAGCATCATTAATATATTTATTATTACATTTATTGTCAACTAAAGTACAATCTTTAATAACTAAATTTGGTAAAGTTGGTAAGGGTCTTATTTTTGTATATAACAATGTGCTTTGAATTAACTGTAATAAAGGTACAGGTATTGCTTTACAGATCTTATTGTATTCTCTATTTGTACAGTTTAAATTATATTTGTCTAAGAAAGATTTATATTCCAAAAAGTTACCATTATCATCTATAACATCATTCACAAACACAATGCCCTTTTCATACCAATCATACCTGAACAATGATTTCTTATTGATTATAACAACCCTATTGTTCCATAAGGTGGATCCAGGTGGAGAAAAGTTATGGGTGAATATCATTTTCCAATATTGGAGAATTTGTTTGTGGAAGTTTGATAATTTAACAGGAATTTTGGTCACCTCAAAATCACAAATGCAAAAGAAAATCAAGCCCTCCTACTTTTTTTAAATAGATGTCTAGGTATGTGAAACCACATAGAATCTGGTTGTGATAGAAATGTTTTCAACCAGTTAATCTTAAAGGTCCCAAACATTGCTTCATAGTCCAAGGCTTTGATACCACCCATATCATACTCTTTAACGAGCTGTGATTTCTTAATATAGTGAGTTTTATTTTTACACAGGAATTGGAAAATAATTGAGTTGGCTTTCTTAATATTACCAGAAACATACAAGGAATGACATGGATAAATTACTTTGGAAATACCTTCTGTTTTAGATGCCACACAGTCGAGTGATAAAGAGTAAACAAGAAGTTAATTTTGAGCAAACAAAATCTTCCACTAAATATTGCCAGTTACTTAAGCCACATGCGGAACCATTCTCAAACAATACAATAGTTTGAGTAAGTAATTTAATGACTCATAAACAGTTGCTGAATTTGAAATAGCAGGATATAGTATACATGGATTTCTCTGCAACGTCATCAATGTTTGCGCACGCAACCGGGAGGCCGAAAAAAGACGTGTTTCGTGTAGTAGGCTAATAGCATAGTAGTGGTGTCTGTAAGTCAAAACAAGCGTAACGTAACTTATATAAAAGCAAATTCGGGCTGTCCAGTAGATGTTGCACTGCTAACATTGCTAGTTACATTATTAGCCTAACATGATAATTCATACATATATCACAGTAACACTGCAAAATTAAAGACAGACAAACAGATCCAACTAAAATCACGTTTTATTGAGTCAGCAGTTATATACAAACAATACAAACAATAAGGAAAGCTTCAAAACTTGCAGTAGCGGACCAGCTCACCAATCTGGCTTTCTGCCTCTGGTATGCGCACGGCCGCACGCACCCTGTAATGTTTGTGGGATAGGAATCCCGTGTATAGTATTTGAAATAGTAAGAATAGTACTGTATGTTATGCTACTTTTAAGCAAATCGTTTGATTGAATGATTCAATGACTAGTTTATAAAGACAATCTTTTGTTTCGGTTAAATAAATTGTTCCATGACTCACTCATTAAGACACTTGTTGCTACCTCCTGAAGTTAACCTAGAGATTGTTTTTTTTCTTATAAAAGGTAAACACTTTATAAGCATGCTGTATGTTGTAAGGACGTTTCATCTCCTTTCATACATCAAACACTGTTTCTCTGTTTCTTAGCCAGCAAAGAAGACGGCCTCATTTCCCAGCTTTGTGGATGGTAAGCGAGCATCTCCTGTCTTTTATTTTTTCTGCATTTGATAATCTGCTCCCAAAACTTTTATTCTATCAGAATTAAATCAACTCAAAAACAAATCAAATTCACTAAACCAACTCAGAGCATTGAGATTAGAGAGCCGCGCTGAAGAATGCATTATGTCTCAGTGGTTTACATGGTGAAATGCAGGCAGAATTAAGCTGTTTTAATGGGTTACAGTGGTGAGACCGTAATTAGAATAGTCATGTTTGCTAATATAAGGGCACATGGAGTAGTTGCTCAACTAGAGAAATACTTACAGACTGTTATAGGAAGCGAAAGAGAGTTCTGGAAAAGCAGAACTATTGATTGACCACAGCTTATTTTTGGTTTATGGCAGCCTAAGATGTATTGCTGCTGTCATTTTTGGGAACAAATTCTGCTTTCTATTAAATGGATAGATTTCTGTCACATTTAAATCTTGTGCCTGAATGATGGCAGTATAATGTATCCCTTGGTGGGTGTCACTGTCATCCACATTTCCATACCACACAAGCAGAAAACACGCCACACACCCTGGTTTTCCTCATGTGGCTACCTTCGTTCCCGCATTTCAGTGTCTGCGGTAACATTTTATCAGCACTCACTGTGGGATGGAATTGAGAAGAACACACATATATTCACACACACTTTCATACACACAACATCTGCATGCAACTTTTCTTCCTGATAAGCTCACACTCATATGCCTTATCAGTCACTGTGAGGTGGTCTACAGAGGAGGTGGCAACACAACAAATAGCTTTAATAATGAATTCTCAATGCTTCCCTTCTAACAGTGCCGGGCCCATGTGAACCTGAGGACCTCATTGATGGGATTATCTTTGCCGCCAACTACCTCGGGTCCACTCAGCTTCTGTCAGAGAGAAATCCATCGAAAAACATCAGGATGATACAGGCCCAGGAGGCAGTGAGCCGGGTCAAGGTACAGAAACCTAGAACCTCTGTTTTTACATTTTATTTTGGTGTGGCTCTCAAGTGAAGCAGTTTGAAGCTAATGCAGATTTCTCTGTGGAGAATTAGATGAGATGAGATTTGTTTGTTTACACCCCGGGACTTGTTGACTAATCAGTAGTTATAGGATTATTTTCCGTGGTGTAGGAGTGTAATCCCTCTTCCTCCCATTTGGTTAACGTAGAAAGCCCTCCTGTTGCCATGTTACATGGAAAATTCAAGTGAACTTATTGTGTTTTAAGAGACCATGTGGCGCAATCAAACTGGGAGTTTTTTCCCACAAACCACTTCGGATACTGATCTTCTCCTGCAACAATTAAAAATAGACAAAAACAAAAGACAAAGTTCTGTATACACTTATGTATTTATTAATGCCATCTCTTTTCTTGCATTAGCAGTAGTGATGTGTGATATGTATTATCTATGATCAATTTTAAGTGTTGTTTTTACAATGTGCAAGCTTACATTATCGAGTATGTCATCACTCACTTTGCAACAACCAAACAAAAACACACCTCGAGAAAGCCCACTGTGTGATGTAGCATGCAGTGTGATTTGAATGCAGTTAGAATGCCAATGAAAATAGTTCCAAAAAAAGCAAGAGCAAAACCGTTGTATGTCTCAGAACAAAACAGAAAAGTTACTGAATGAATTGCGTTTTTGAACCAATCGTTTGAGTGAATGATTCAATAACACATTCACATAAAGACAATTGCTTTGTTTCTGAATGAATCATCCATTTTTAACAAATTGTTTGAATGAATGATTCAATGACTCACTATTGGAGGTTTTAATTTCATATTTGACATACGGTTAATATGGTTAGGAAAAATAGCCCTTATGAAGGTAGAAATGCCCCTAGAAATCATTATAGGGAGTCAAGTATCAATTTTTTTTTTGCCATTTCCACCACCCAGAATAAGAAAATGAAAAGCTTCGGGAGTCAGCTGTCCACAACAGGCCTAAAACCAGATAAGGTACCAGCTCAAAAACACACTTAGCAAAATATTGTCTAATTATCATTATCAACAAACAGAAGAGGATTCATATTGCCAGGATGAATCTTTAGTTTACCCACATCTATTTATTTTGCTGTTAATTATTAGCCATGATTGGCACTCCATTGCACTGGGGCAGGAGTTAATGGACGTGTTGTTAGCCCTGTATTAGATGTTTTATGCCTTTCAGCACTAAGCAATGGGAATCCACACAAGCACTGTGAGAAGCTGCTATCCTAACCAAAATATGCTGTGCACGATGTGTCTCAATCAGTTTCAGACTGCCTGGCTCCACTCATGCTTGATATACTTCAATTTTGATTTTTCTGGGCAGAAGCAGTTCTAGAGTAGTGCATCTGAATATAAGAAATAAAAATATGCTGTAGAGCCATGAAATTTGAATGCATCTGGAATATGCAACTTTTGGCTAAGTATTCTTGTTTATTCATGACAGGAGCATCTGTGAAGTGTAAAATCACTGCTGTCTGGTCCTATGGCCACATGGTACTTTGATGGTATCAGATGGTAATACTTGGTTCGGAATGATTATCATATTCATATTCATGTGACGAAGGTATTTATATGGCACATACTTCAAAGAAAAACATTGTATTACCTTGCATTGCCATGTCCAAAAAGCTTTTTTTTTAGGCTGGTGAGACATTAAACTTTGAGATAGAAATTACCTTTTAATGCTTTGAAATGTGGTACAGAGGTATTGCATTCCTTATCCTTACAAAGCAGTAGTCTTTAATCCCTAGTTTACATTGCTCCCTCTTGTATTGCATGTTATTTTAGGAAAAGACTGTTGCTGTAACTGCAGTGATGCTTTATTGCAGTCCTCCTGGTCAACAGCTGGCAGTTGATTTTACATGAGATGCTCCACAGTGGCCCTCTAAGCTAGCCTGGGAAAACCCAGACAACTTCCGGCAAATTTAGATTTGCTCTGAAAGTTAGTCTGGCAAAGAGCTCATTCAAGCCCATTTCCAATCCGTCGAAATCGAGGCACCAATCAGAAACGTTGGGGCGGGCTTTACACGATGATTGGGATTTTAAAGCAGATTTTGTAGCCTACATTACAAAGATGGATGCCGCCTAACATCACTCGTTCGAATCACCTATCGCGTCTGTTTTAAGCAATTTGAACGTTTCCTTTTTGTTAAAAACCGAGCAAAGAACAACAATCGGGAGATGTTTCTCCGCCGCTCTGCATACGTCAACTCCTTCATCGTTCTAATTGGTTTTAGGTCTATCCGCGACGTCCGTTGGTGACGCCCCTCTGGAAATGAATTGTCTATGACGCTTTGCCAGACCATAACTCAGTTGCAACTGAGAATGGTCTGGTTTTAACCAGGCTACCTCTAAGCTGCTCCACATTTAGAAACACATACCTGTGGCAAGGACAGGCACACACACCAACAGACATACAGTACATGTACACAATTTGTCAGCTGGGTGCACACTCACACAGACCCATGGTGGGCATGAAGGACTGGGAATGTGCCTCAAGAAGGCACACTTGAATCTGTGTAATACAGAGGTTCTGTATAATACTACATACAGGTCTCTCTTTCGTTCACAATCACACAACGAAGTACACCTGTCTGGTCAGTCTCTCTCTCTCTCAGATTAAAGACCCCATAGAAGGAACTTTCTCAGGGTACAGTATGTTCCAATTGGCCAGTATAGAGTCCTGTGAAGTCTGATCTTCAAGCTATCTTCAAGGGGTGGTTGATTATGATTTCACTTTTCTAACTTTAGTTAGTGTGTAATGTTGCTGTTTGAGCATAAACAACAACTGCAAAGTTACAACGCTCAAAGTTCAAAGCAAAGGGAGATATTTTCTTTTAAAGAAATTGTTTTTTAAGGACTACAACCAACGGCGGGACTACACGACATTCCTCCCGGGTTAGTGACATCACAATCCCTAAAATTTACATAAACCCCTCCCCCGGGAAAGCATTTATAGATTATCATGACAGAATATGCTAATCAATCACTAGAAGATAACTACACAATACCTAAATTCATCAACTAACCATTCAGAAATGTCCTGTTGCATTCTACATGTTGTCACTTCTGCTGGCATCAAGTTTTTTAAATTTTCAGTGCATGTCTGTGTGAGGTCAAAGGACACACTTTTTAAAGGACTCACTCTTTAAAAAGTGACAATGTTAACATGCTATATAAAAATATCTGTGGGGTATTTTGAGCTAAAACTTCACATAGACACTCTGGGGACATCAGAGACTTATTTTACATCTTGTGAAAATGGCATCATACCACCCCTTTAGTTAAGATTTCAAATCATAGGGTGTATGTACCAGTATTCATTGATATATCACTACTGTGGAGAAGGAAATTTATCGATCAGACATTATTTATCTTCACAAAAATCAAGGAGTTGGAGCTCTGGAAGTTTCATGCAGTTTATTTTCCCTCAGACATGGACATTATAGGCTTTTTTGCAGTTTAATATGCACAAGATATATGACACAATCAAGAAGACATATAGTGCAAATTAACCAAAATTAGTTTTATATGTTAAACATGACAGTCTTTAATTTAAATTAATATTCTAGTCACTAAATCCAGGAGTTTCAAATACGACAAATTATAAAATTTTATATATATTGTTACGTCCTAGGACGCAATGTGTTATGTTTATTTTTTGTTATTTCTTTTATTGTTGTGATTTGATGTTGTGTAGTTTATATATATCTCTTATGCTCACCAAAACTAAACTTTGTTTGATCAAAATACAGTAAAAACCACAATATTGTGAAATATTATTACAGTTTAAAAATAACCGTTTTCTATTTTGACATAGGTATTTAAAATGTAATTTATTCCTGTGATGGCAAAGCTGAATTTTCAACATTTCGTATCATTATCGATGTTGAAACTTTTGCTTAATATTTTCGGGGAAACCGCCATACTTTTTTTCAGGATTCTTTGATGAATAGAAGCATTTATTTGAAATGGAAACCTTTAGTAGCATTGTACTTATTGCTGAATCAAATAATATTAATATAATCATTTTCACGAGTTGTCAAGTGTTATCTGTGTTCGTAGGCCCTGTAGAGCATTATTTTTGTCAAGTAAACTGATGTTCTACAGATATTACTTGCTGAGTGAACACTGCGTAGGGACCTTGTAATTCAGAACGCAGCTTCAGTGTCTACCCCGGCTACCAGTGATCTCAGACCTCCTTCTGTTCCCTCTACCAAGGGCCAAGCCGGTCATTTCTCTTGCCAGCCACCATTAAAAGCCATTCAAAATGAAACCATGGCAACAAACTCTCTCCTTCTCCTCTTTATCCCTGCTATTATTATGTGGCTATAGATTCTTAAAAGTTGAGATGAGCTGCACAATCTTTCCTTCCTTTTCCTCTCTTTCTCCTTCTTCCTTTCGGTGTCTTGCTCACACACACACACACACACACACACACACACACACAACTCTGACATTCATGCACTCACACATCTGCTCTTCCTCTCTGCAGATGATAATGTGTCTGTCCACAGCTGAGTGCACAGTATGTCAGTGCAGCGCCTGAGGACAGTGTTTTTCTTGTCGCATTTCTAAAGTAGTGATTTCCAACCGGGTGTACGCATACCCAGAAGGGAGGAGACGGTCTACTCATATAAAATTGAATGGGAAAAATTGTGGCGCACCGTATGGTGGCTATAGGTTCCACCTTACAGTTAAAAAGGTCACATCTGTTTTTTTTCTGTTGTTTACTCTTGAATGTGCATTACCTGGACCAGCCTAAAATATATAGTGTTGTTGTTGTTTGCGTGAGAAGAAGCCAAAGAAGCACAATATGGTACCATCAGTGTCTGATTTTATTCCTGATGTGAAATGTGTTATTTCAAAGTTCAAGATCAGAACACACAGCACATGCAAACACTGAACATGATGCAATTCCATGCTAATTGTAGTAGTTTTACCCTCACTTACGGTAATTCGGTTTAATCCTCCAAATGTTCTGCCATTGGCCTGTTGTACATGTATAAGTTCTGATTAACGTTTGATTTCGCTCATGTGATATTTTTCATACAGATTT